TCTCTTGCTTTTGCTTCTCGACCCACCATGGTGGGGCAGAGCTCCACGGACCAAGGTCCATGACAGAGCAAAGCAACTCAGCTTATGGTAGACTGGAGACAGAGAGTGATAGGAAGGGGCCAAGGTAAGGCACATCCCTAAGAACTATCCTAGTGACCCAGTACCTCTGACCAAAACCACCTCCTAATTTCCATCACTCCATGCAGAGGACCCAAATTCATATCTCAGCACTCATGTTGGTGGGCTCACACAAAACTTCTGCTCAAGGGTGACCTAACACCCTCTTCTGGCTGCCTCTGAGGGTACACACACACACACACACACACACACACACACACACACACACACGGAGCCCCAGTAGTCCTTCACTTCCTCAGAGTCCCACCATCTGGCAAGCAAGGCCTCAGCTCTCAACACACAAGCCAAGGGGACAATCAGCGTTCCTTTCAGGCTTTGATCTGCTGAACTGCAGAGGTATCCCACCGACCCTTCACCAGACAACATTTTTACTTTCTCACTTTGCCCAGAACCTATCTCAGGGTTCATCTTTACTCTATTTAACACTATTTAGAAAAGTCCAAGAACTCACTGCTAGAAATATTTCTTAACACGAGCTCCCTGAAGATGCAAAATTTCCCAATCAAGCCAAATTAAAACAAGCCAAATTAAGAAATATCCAGGTTTAATGGGAGATCTGCGCTCTGGGGTGGCTCTCGGGGAAACCAACCACCGGGAGGAAGAAAGGGAGACCATGTGTTCCTCTTTTGGGGGGTCACTTAAATACCTTGGGGAGTGGTCCTGACCCCACCCCCAGGGAGGGGTCAGGACCTGGCCTGCTGGGATTTGGAGTCCAGACCAGGCCTGGGGGCTGGGATAGGTGCGAGGGGCAGGGGCCTACACTCCCAACTTGACACTCACACTCTGGAAGTCTGGTCTATTTTATGTTGAATCCATCTCTTTGTCTGAAATTAAAAAATTCCATTTAATACCCTGGGAAGTCATCCCCATCTTTCTGAAGCTCTTCACGTATTTTCTACAAGATGTTCTTGTCCATTTTTATTTATTTGTAAACTCATGTTTTCTTATTTGATTTTGATCCGAAGCAGATGGGGTGGGGGAGAGGAAGCCTCCTATCATATTTCTGTCACCCCACAAGCACACCACACTTCAGTGGGCTTTTGAGGTTCCCTCTGGACTCTTCCCAGAGAGATAGATCTTAAGACGAGGAAGCTGCAAAGGCATGCAGAGCATGGCTCCATGTCTTTGTCTTCAGAAGCAATAGTAGGGTGGCCCTTACAAAACTATTTCACCTGCTGTAAAAACGGGAGACTGTGTGATGGAGGAAGGTCATTAGCTAATAAAGAAACTGCCTTGGCCCATCTGATAGGAGTAAACAGAACAGAATGCTGGGAGAAAGAGGAAGTGAGCTCAGACTCAATAGCTCTCCTCTCTGGGGCAGACGCGATGAAGCTCCGACCCAGGATGGACGTAGGCTAGAATCTTCCCGGTAAGCGCACCTTGGGGTGCTACACACATTAATAGAAATGGGTAATCAAGATGTAAGAATTAGCTAGTAAGAAGCTAGAGCTAATGGGCCAGGCAGTGTTTAAATGAATACAGTTTGTGTGTTGTTATTTTGGGGCATAAGCTAGCCAGGCAGCCAGGAGCCAGGCTGTGAGAAGAGGCCCACAGCTCGTACTACAACTGTGAACTTGGGTATGCGTTGGGAAGTGTCAGGATGGGAGAAGGGAAAAAAACTAGTGGCAGGGTGCGGATGTGAGAAAGATCCAGCAGGTACTGGACTGGAGGTAAAGGCTTCACCAGGTAGACACATGGCAAAAATAAAATGCCTCTTTTGTCTCTCTGTGACACCGTGCAGTAATGAGAACACTGGATACCCCGAGTTTGAGCTCTAAACACCAATCTCTACCAAAAGAGACTTGACAGATCCAAATCAACATGAGAGATGTGACTAAGTCAGCTTGAAGTGACTTCCAGTCTCAGAATAGATGGTGTGGAAGCGTGTAAGAATGTCTGGCAAGAAGGGCTCCTGCTGGCCAAACGTGGGGCAGTTCAAATGCATGCACAAGTCTAAAGAAATCCCTTAGAAAAAGATGAAGAGGCAGGCTCTCCTTGTGAAATGGCACCAGTTAACAAAAAGGAGAGCCCTCAAATGAAGGCGGAAGTCAGTTGACTCATGGAAGGGCAGCCACAACTCAGACGAAGACTGAAAGCTGTTGGGAGCACTTCTGATTGCTCACCGGGGAAGGCTACCTTTGTTACCACTACCAGTGTCGTCACTGAGGGCATGAACCCTCATTTGTCCACGGCAAGTGTCCTCCAGGCCCAGGGGACCCCGGCACCTATCTCTCAGGGCTCTTTGCTACTCTCTTCTGGCTTAAGATCCACCCATGGAGACTTCCCAAGTGGATTGCTTGATGTCACCCCAGTGTCCCTTCCTCCTCCCCCAGACCACAGGGAGGCTGCTGGCCCTGGAGGAAGGAGTCATGTGTGACCTCAAGACCTCTGCAGCAACTTTCTTAATTGCTGGCTTTTGCTTCTTGTGCCATTCAGACATGGCTGCTGGCCTTCTGGGATGGTCCTGAGCACCACATGAAATAAGAGGCTTGTGCATGCATCCTGGAGAAAGTCAGGGTGATCTGGTGTGTGTTGCTTCTGCTTCAAGACTTGCCAGAGCTCCTGCTATTTACAATAATTATATGGAGTTAAGCTGCCCAACCCAGAGCAGGCTTCATCAGGCTTCTGGTCTTTCTGCTCATCACCCTTCCCAATCCACTTCTCCACCCAGGAAATTTTTGTGTGAATATATATATATATATATATATATATATATATATATATGCACATACACATACATATATATGCATAGTTGTACAACCATACACTTATTAATAACGTATCATAAAGAATTTAGTATCTGAGCATGGTGGTGCCCGCCTTTAATCTCAGCACTTGGGAGATGGAGGCAGGCGGATTTCTCTGAATTCAAGGGCAGTCTAGTCTGTATAGTGAGTTCCATGCCAGCCAGGGCTACATATTTTGTGTCTCAAAATAAAGAAAATCATGAAATTTAATATCGTTAGTTTTACTTTGTTACCTATCCCTTTGAGCATAAATACAATGTTGGATGATTTATGTGGTAAGGGATACATGACTAACCAGATCAGAGTTTTGTGGGGGAAGGCAGCCTGTGCCGGAGAGCACCTCAGCAGATAATATGATAGAGCTACAAAGGGGCTGTGCTCTCCCTGTGTGGGACGTGGTCTCATGCTGTCTGACACTGGGCACACGAAAACATAGCTTGTTCCAAAATGCCTCCCACGTCTGCCCTGTGGGTGTGCAGCTGTGAGTGTCTTCCTCAAACATGCCTTCACTTCATCCTCACAACCCTGCAAGTGAAGTGAGGCCGGAAGCACGGTGGGGATGCTGTACTGACTTACAGGATCCAAAGACGCTTTTGTTCTGTTCAGGTAAACCCCCAGGCTAGCCTGGGGTCCTGTGGAAGCAAAATACAAAACCCGAATAAATCACAGGGAGGGCGGGATTGATTCTCAAAAGTTAGCACAGAGCAACCGTGAGCATCATCTAGGGACAAAATAAATAAATAAATAAATAAATAAATAAATAAATAATTCAAATGGGCTCAGACCTGCGCCTCACATCGCATACAACCAATTGAGCAGGGCAGATTATGGACCTGAATCGAAAACAGGAATCTTCCAGATGAAGGAAGAAGAGGAGAGACGTTTTAGGGTAGAGGCCTGCTCCAAGATGTCTTCTTAGACTTGACAGCCAAAGCAGATTCGAAAAAGAGAAAATCAACCCACTCGAACACAAAGAGCCTTGCCTTTATCTGGGGCTAATTTGGATTGCAGTCTAGAAAAACACAGGCTCCAGCAGCCTAGACAGAGATGCTCTGTGTTTATCTTTGAACCTCAAAGGGGTTGGCAATGACGTCATCCGCTAGTCAGGAATTTGAAGCTGTGCAGTTAAGAAGGGCTTGGGGATGGCTTAGCCTCCCGCTGCTCACTTGGTGGGTGGGAGAGTACTGTGGGAGGGGGAGGGCGATGCCAGCAGTGCTTCAGTGGTGAGTTTGCTTCCTGGTGAGAGCGCCTGCCCTATAGCCTCCCAACACCTGTTAAGCACCTCCATTTTGAATTCTTTTTTTCTTAAGTCTCCTTCCAGACAGGCATTTTCTGCTCCATCCTCTATCCAGTACACAGAATGTGGCTGCCAGCCAGGCAGTTCCGGCCTGTCACCCCAAGATTGGAAGGCTGAGACAGAAGAAGAAACATAAGTTCAAAACCAGTCCAGGTTTCAGGGTGAGTTCAAGGCCAGCCTTAGACAGCTTCTAGAGACCTCATCTTAAGATTTTTAAAAAAGGGAAATAGAGTGTGCAGTTAGTTTTATGTCAACTCGACACAAGCTAGAGTCATTTTGGAAGAGAGAAGATCCACTGAACAATGCCTACACCACGTTAGTCTGTTGGCAAGCCTCTGATGTATATTTTTGATTGACAATTGAAGTGAGAAGGCCCAGCTCACTGTGGGCAGTGCCAGCCTTGGGCAGGTGACCCAGAGTTATCTAAGCAGGCTGAGCAAGTCACCAGGAGCAAGCCAGTAAGTAGCCTTCTTCCATGCCTCTGCTTCAGCTCCTGCCTCCAGGTTCCTGCTTTGAGATCCTGCCCCATATCCCTGGATGATGAACTACAAGGTGTAAACTGGAGTAATCCTTTCTTTTCCTCGCCAGGTTGTTTTCGGTCATAGCAATAAATGAACCCTAACTAAGACAGAGAGCTGGGGACACAGCTCAATAACAAAGCACTTGCCTCAAATTCTCTGTGCCCTAGGTTCAATCCCTAATACTACAAAGAATACAAAATATAAATAAATATAGAAAATGAAATAAGAAGAAGCCAATGCAAGATCCCAAATTTACGTGTTTATGACCCAGCCCTTGGGAGAAATTGAAGTCTTGTATTTAATCCCCAGCAGCTAGAAGAAAGTCTGTTCTCCAGCTCTGTGGGGTCAGATGACATCATTACCAAAGCCAGAGGACTGGATCACTTTGTAGGAGAAGCCAGCACCGACCTTACTGTAACCGGCAGTTTAAGGAGTTCATTGTTGGCCACGGAGACCCCCTAGCATGCTTCCACCACACAAGTCCTTCAGTCCCTCGTGACCAGCTTCAGGAACGGTCAAGCATCAGGGCTAGCCACACATTCTCTCTCAGAAAGGGAGTAGTCCACGTTTCCAGCCATCACAATTGAACCAAGATTTGTCAAGTGCAGGAGCTGAAACAAACCTCTGGATTAGCTTTACGTATCCAGGAAATTAAACGAACCACAGCACTGGCCCCTGAGGCAGCCGGAGAATCAGTTTCATTTTATAACTCCAGATCTCCAAAAGCAAAAAGCACACTTTGTGAATTGAGCCCTGGGACTCCCTCCCAATCCCTTAAGCTCTCTAAAATCATTATTATACTGATAAAATAATTTACCTGGGGCTAGTTCACAGCAGAACGGTAAGTACCTCAGTGTATGGTCATTTTCTTAGAATAAAGTACTGGTTCTTCTTAAAGACCAGACAAGAGTCAAGGCAAACGTCATCACCCTCCCTACTATTAGGGAGGCTTACCTAACAAGTGAGGTAGGGGCTCCAGGTCAGGTGACTGAGTCTTTGCATTGCAGAGGGAGCTAAGCCAGCCAGGTGTTAAGCTTCAAAGTACAACCTTGGAAACCAGGAGGCAGAAGAGGAGTCTTCTCTTGTATAAAATTCCTCAGGACGGATTTCCGGTCTTGTCAGAGCACTTACGCAGCCAGATCGCAGAACCACAAGTGTGTGTCCATGCTAAATAAATAAACGAGTCTCAGAACATCTGCTTCCTGGATTTGGAACTTATTATTGACGGAATTCCACAGTTTGGTCCCCTGGTGTGGGTTTTCATTAATTAAAAGCCCAACTTCATATTCTTTTAACCACAGAATTTTCAAAACGTCAAAGTACACAAAGAAGTTTCTAGAACTGCTTTGATTCTTACCTCCTCCCGTGCCCAAGGCATTCAGCATTGAAGGAGGCCAGAGGTCATTGGAGGAAGGAGGGACCCAGAGCAACAGGTTGAGACCAGAAGGGTAGTGGGCAGGCTACTGGCAAGTGTGAAGGGCTTTGAAGAGAAGTTTCTGGCACCCTCCTGCCTTCCTGCTGCCTTGGCAGCTGGGGAGGAGGCTGATAAGATGAAATCACATTCCAAGCATGCCATTCCTGAAGGATGGTAAATATGCTTAGCAAAGCCAGGTTCAAAGAGGAGTCTGCCTCCTGTCTGGAAGAGGGATGGCTCAGAGCTGTGAGACCCTAAAAGCCAATATCTTTATGAATTCTCCAAAAAAAAAAAATCCAAAAACTAAATCAGAAATCTATTGAACTGGGTTGGAGAGATGGCTCCCTGGTTAAGAGCACTTTCTGCTCCTCTAGAGGACCTCAGTTTGTTTACAATGGTGGCTCACAACCATCTCTAACCCCAGCTCCAGCTCTGAGGGATCCAGTGCCCTCTTCTGACCTCTGCTGGCACTGTACACACATGTCTGCTTATATACATGCACACAAACATGCATGCACACAGGGCTGGAGAGATGGCACAGTGGTTAAGGGTATTTCAGATTGTTAGGGGAAAAAATCCTAAGAGGGGCGGCTCTGCCAGCGCAAAAAAATCCAATTAGGTCAGATCAAACCAAATTAAAATGCCCATCATTTTATTAAATATAGTGCTCTCAGGTGGCCGAGCGCCTTGCAGGGAGACAGGAAAGCAGGAGGCACATGCAAACCTGGAACCACATGTTTCTCCTCTGGGAGCCCACTTAAATACCCTGTGGGAGTGGTCCTGACCCCTGACCTGGCATTCTGGGATTTGGAGTCCAGACTAATGCAACTCCCAGGCCAAGGGGGCTGGGATGGATACCAGGGGATGAGGCTAGGCCCTATATTTAACATTTCAGACTCTTTGGATATAGGGCTGACAAGAAGTTGAAATGATCATTATGACGAACATTTTAGGTTCTCTTTGGAAAAAGGGCATAGACTCAAGTCTGGCTACTTCCTGTCGGCATGGGGGTGACATGGGGGCGACATGGGGAGGGGAGAGCTGGGTGTTGGTGGGTCCATGCTCAGCGGGTGGTATGACTGGAAAGGCATTCTGTTCACTGTCATCCCGGAGACACCAGGCATTTGTTTCTTGAGGGAGGTAAGAAGGCAGGTGTCTAGGAGGAAAAAAAATATTGTTATTATTGGACCTATGAAATGGGGCTAGCCGTGGGATGAGACACAACAGCAGAGGAAACCAGATTTTAGTTGGCAGATGTCCTTGATCCAGAAGAGTCGGCACCAATGAAGTCCCAGGAGCTGGTACAGGTGCTTTTGGTGTTGTCCTGGGAGCATTTTGTAGGTTGGTCTTGACGTAGGCAGCAGGAGTAACCTGCAAAATATGCTTAAAACTGGCTGGGGTTAAAAATTAACAACCTTAGCCGGGAGGTGGTGGTGCACGCCTTTAATCCCAGTACTCGGGAGGCAGAGGCAGGTGGATCTCTGTGAGTTCGAGGCCAGCCTGGTCTACAAGAGCTAGTTCCAGGATAGGCACGAAAAACTTCAGAGAAACCCTGTCTCGAAAATAAAAAAAAACAAAAAAATTAACAACCTTGGATTTTTACCAGATCTGATTTTGGTGTAGTGATAGATATTTTCCAGGAACCTGTAAGAGAACTGGACGAGATTTTATAAATTGGTGTCGTAGCAAAAGGCTATGAAGATTGAAACCAGTTAATGCTGGACTATGAAGCCTGTTAAAGAGCAGTACCTTGAGTTGTCAAGTCTGAGAGGAACAGATGAGCATACAACGAGATAGCTTTTGGCTAGCAGGCAATCCCAAGTTCTCTCCTTGTCCTTGGAGAACATCAGTCTTAGAAGCAGTATTTGCCATTAGCTGTTGAGTGCGAGAGGCCCAAAGATTTTCCCTGTGAGCGGGAAGGTTGTCTTTATCTGGCTCGGCAGGAAAAGCCAGTTGATTCCCTGGGTACAAGGCCTCTTTTGCTTCTGTGTGGGTCGCTTTGCCAAACCCAGAGCAAGCCTGGAGATGGCAGGTCTTCTGTCTTCTTGGAGGAGTCATAGGGTGCTGCAAAGGCTGACTGTCTCAGTGTTAGAAGCTCTTGTTAAAATGCCATGATCTCGGATCTATAAAGGCACTTGAGAGCCAGGTACCATTACCTGGTATTTTAAACTGGGCATATAAGCTAAATTTTTAGAACTGTTATAATCTGGAAAGACACATGTACAAATTCACATCTCAAAAACACAGTTACGCACTTATATAAACACATTGTGGCCACATTATTCTAACAGAGAAACAGCCTTGGGGACCTGTGTCAGCTAACTAGACATTGCAAGAGAGAACAGAAACGTAAGGACAAAAATTTTTGTAGCGTTTTAGAGTGGAAGGATGGGGGAAGGGGGAGAAAGCAGGTTTGTTGTCAGCAGGAAAGGGTGGGGCAGCAGCGGAGATGCCAGAGTGGTCTGAGAGTGGATGGCAGAGACCAGGGAAACAACTATGGAGAATGTAAGGCTAAGCCCCCTGCCCGTGTCGGGCCCAGATAGAAACCTATGTTGACGCAGGATAGTGAAACTGATGGGCAAGTGCCGCTCCATGAACTGGCTGCACCACATCTTTGTTGTTGGGCACACAGTGGCGCATGGCATTGGAGCACTTTGGACCGGGAATGGGGTCGGTGGCTGCTTTTATGAGTGCATGCCCTGTAGGCTTAGAACTCCAAACCTGTTGCAAAGCAACAGTGCAGCAGTGGCTTCAGGGGGCAGAACTGTGGGGAGGGGGGCAAAGCGCTGATGACGAATTAGCATAAAGAGAGGCAGAAGTCGGGGAAGGACAAAAGAGCTGTCAGTGAATGAAAACAGAGAGAGACAGAAGTGGAAGCGGGACAAAGATCTGTCGCCAATGGACAAAGAAAGAACAGTGGAAAAGGAGGGATGGAGGCGCCATACTTTAAAAAAATGAGGACTTTGGAGAGTAATTTGCTTTAAGTTAGATTGTTGCAATTTAAAAGGTTTTTAAGCGTCCACTTATGTACCTGGTACGTGAGAAATTGGCTGGGAACGTCTTCTGGCACCCAAATCTCATCTCAGCAGGAGGCCCGGCCTCTGCCACGTGTGTGTGTGTGTGGGGGGGGGGGGCTTTTGGCACGGCCATGACTTCAACAAAAGCCCAGAAAACGATTGGGTCACTCCAAAACCCTATCCGCATGCAGTTTAAAAGGGGAATTCACCAAGTGAAGCCAAACTTGCCTGGCGGAGCACATGTGCAGGAAGGCCCATTTTCCAGCATAGCCCTGGATCCTGGGCCCACAGGAAAAATTAAGGCATCTTGGTGGGACCTCCATATATTAGGGAAAAAATCCTAAGAGGGGCGGCTCCACTGCACAAAGAAATCCAATTAGGTCAAGTCAAACCAAATCAAAATGCCCATCATTTTATTAAATACAGCACTCTCGGGTGGCCAAGCGCATTGCAGGGAGACAGGAAAGCGGGGAGCACATGTAAACACAGAACCACATGTGTCTCCTCTAGGAGCCCACTTAAATACCCTGTGGGAGTGGTCCTGACCCCCTCCCCCCCAAGTCAGGGGTCAGGACCTGGCATGATGGGGTTTGGAGTCCAGACCAATGCAACTCCCAGGCCAGGGGGCTGGGATGGATGCCAGGGGCTGGGGCTATGCTCCAGACTTAACACAGATGACCCAGGTTTAATCTCAGCACCTACATGGCAGCTCAACACCACCTGTAACTCCAGTTCCAAGGAACCTGACTCCCTCTTTTGGTCTCCGTGGGTACCAAGGAGGAACATACGTGCAAGCAAACATACACACATTTTAAAAAATTATGCTCATAAAGTAATCTTAAAAGAAAATGAACGAGGGCCACAGAGACCCCATCACAGCAGATGGATGTGTGGAATGCTTGAGGGACAAAGCAAGGAGCACCACCCCCAGATAACATTAATTTTTTTTTTTGTTTTTTGGTTTCTTTGTTTTTTGGTTTTTCAAGACAGGGTTTCTCTGTAGCTTTGAAGCCTGTTCTGGAACTAGCTCTTGTAGAGCAGGCTGGCCTTGAACTCAGAGATCTTCCTGCCTCCCGAGTGCTGGGATTAAAGGCTTGCGCCACCACTGCCCAGTCGACATTAATTTTCTAAGATGCAATGTCTAGGTGTCCTTGACGATCCTCAGCTCTGTGGTGTCATCAGATGGATGGCCACACGTCTAGGACTCAAGAAAGTTCTGTGGGAACTAAGAGTGTGCCTAGGAGAAAGAGCTGCAACTCCAGGAGAACCTTCACCTGCCTTCAAAGCAGTGGAAGATCAAGGGGTCCTTTCTGTTCTTGGAGACATTGCCGCCTGAATTTGTCTCCTAGAAGACTCTAAAGACCTGGTTCTCTCAGACCAGGTGCCTCATCCAAGCATTCCCCCAAAGCAGCTCCTCTGAGCAGGAAGTGTCTGTGGCAGAGTTTTTCTCCAGCAGGCTTCTCTGTTTGCAGCCGACTGATAAGACAGGAGATCTAATCAAGACATTTTGTAGCTGAACGTGTGTCACAGACACTAGGATTTGGGACCTGACTTTCTGAAAGGGAAGATGAAACAATTCAGCCAGTCCCACTGAGGCTGGGCCTCTGGCGATAGGGGCTTCTGTTCAGGTGTGGGGCTGAGGGAAAAGGAAGAAGGCACACTAAGCGCATTCCGGAGGAGGCAGCTTGTGAACAGGGCTTCACAGTTAGGAGGTGATGGGGCCCCAGGGCACTGGTGGCAGCTGGAAGGGTGGCTCGCCTGCCAGCCAGCCCCAGACAATAAAGGCTTTGCAGAGGTGTTAGTCTAGGTCTCTTGCTCAGCTACTGTGGGAATCCAATGCACTCCTCCTTATTGTTCCCTCTTCCTGAATTAATATCTGCTTGCCTGCCCGGGGTCTTTGCTCACCCATGAACTGGCCATCTACTACTAGACCTTTGAGATTTTGCCTAGCTTTTCCTTCTTATAACCA